ACAATTGCTGCTGGTCCAAAAAAAAAACTTTCATAATTCCTGTACTAAGGTGCTCGTGGAACTGCAATGGCAGGGATGGAGTCAGATGGAAATGCATGGAAATTGCATGCTGGAAATCATCTGCTCTCTGTGCGCACCTCAGAGTGAACAGCAAAAGTGGCGAAACTCATCTCTGCTATTACAAACCTCCCCTTGACAGTAAACACCACCCCAGTGTCAGCTCCAGTTTAAATTGGTGCCATGCAGGCCCAGAATCACAGCCCATGGTTTTCCCTCTCCACTGCATCTGAGCTCCCAAGCTTCGGGAAGAATCCATTTACATCCCAACAGCCTTTAGCAGTCACAATGTGCCTTTTCTCTCCATTCCCCAATGGCAAGATGGAAACTAAGAAGGTGTCAAAAACCTACAGCTGAGCAGCTTGGAAACTCCTTGTATTCCCCATTCCCCACAATTAATTTAGACACCTCTCTGTCTTCTTGCGTAAGTCAGAGCAATGGAAGAGGTATGGCAAATGCCTCCCCAGACATCCTCTCTTCATCCATCTTCTCAATTGCAGTGGCCATTTCATAATTAATGGGCTTGACATAATTAGTTGTGTTTAAAGTCAGGCTATAGCTGAGCCTTTATTCTTACTTGAAAAAACAGGCAGCCATGGACTTACAGGAAATCGCACTGCCAGCGAACAGCTCAGCTGGCTGCAGACTAATCATCTTTTCTTTCCCCTTTGTTAAACACATTCTTGCTCTTGGAAACTGTTCAATAGTTCATTAAACTAATAATCCCATTCAAATCCTACCTCATAAATGGATTTGTCAGTGCTGTTCCTTTCAGGAGACGGTCATTTTAAATTGTCTCTACTTTAATGAGTTTAAGGACAGATTAAATCATGGCTTTGGCTGTGATTTATTGCTCCACATTGCTTTATTAATTGTTATTTGTAGAGGCATTGGTGAATAACAGGCTTGTTTATTTTGCATTTATTTCATGCTTTGCATTTAGTTCAGACTTTTCCCTTTATTAAAGGGGACTGGGATGGGAACGGAGCTCCAAATAAATATGTTTCCAGCAGAAACATATACAGTCTTTCCTCCTGCATTGCTGAACCCTCTTTTACCAACAAGACATCTCCAACTGTCCTCGTGGACAGTGAGCTCCAGACATCAGCAAGGAGAGCTTGTGTTGGTCACGTTGGAGTTACCAAAGAGCAGTTTCTCACTATGAGCTCTCTGATATTAAAGATCCCACGCATTTATTTTAGTACTAATTGACTAAGACTTCACACAAAGTAACCTGCCACCAAAAGAGCACAGAGATCCTGTGCTACTTGGCCTTACCAGATGTTCCTGGGAAACCCACAGGAAGTTTCTTCTGCTATCTGCTATGGGTAGGAGAAGACATTTAAGAGAAAACAAAGGATGAAGCAACAGATATGAGTGGGTATTTGATTATTCCAGAGTTGATAAAAGTTTCCCTATAAAGACATCTGGGTCCCACTTCTCTGTGTAGTTGCAGCGTCATTCTATTTACTTGTCCAAATTGTGATATAACACAAGTTTGAGGTGGAGACAATCTGTGGTTTCACCCACCCAAGGGAAAAGGAGGCACATATAAGAACAAATGGTAGAACAAAAGTCAGATCTAGCTTGACAAGCAAGGTGGCTGTCTTTTAAGTCCTCTAATGTGTGTGTCTGTCTGTCATATGCCTCTTTGGGAGCAAAAGTATTTCTGCCATGGACAAAATGATCTGCAAACGGCACGTTAACATTGTAAAAGGCTTTGCAATCTGGTAGTATAGAAGGTATTGAGCATGGTGTATGAAAAGAAAACAATTATTAACTTGCGTTGGCAAAACAAATGATTTCAAGGAACAAATAATCCAGGGTTACAGAGAGTCCAGAAGCCCTGAGCAGGTTTCCACAAAGGAGAAGAGGACTCTGCACTGCATCACCATTAGATCTAAGCAGCGAACCCTCAAAATCTGTTTGTCCATTTCCTTCCATTCAAAAAATCGATATACAAACTTCTAAACATTCTCACAGAAACCAGTGTTCTGGAGGGTGGCTGGGGGTGGTGGCCCAGGGCTCACCAGGGAAGCTGCCAGCTCAGGCCCATGTGATGCAGCTAAGCTTTGCTGTATTTTAATTCCAGTTCTATTTAAATTCCTTTCATGCAAGCCTCAGAACCAAAGATATTTCAGATGAAAGTTGGATTGAAATTAGTCTGTCTCTCTGAAAGAGAGAGTTGTGGGTCTTTGAAAGCAAACGCCAAAGCAAATATTTGAAATAGTGTCATAAACCATTAAAACAGACAGCACAGATAAATGTGTTTGAACATTCAGATGTGTGTTTAGGGGTGCGGCATTGCAGAATAAATGATTCCACAAATCACAATAGTCAAGATAAGACGCCCACACTGTAAAATAACACCAAATTTAAAAAACCAACCCTACTTTCCTTCACGTTTAAAATTCCACCAAGAAACTCATGGTTCATTCATTTCTGTTGCTAATGCAGTGCTAGCCTGTGAGTAAACCAAACCTTAAATTGTGACTTAGCTGATTTTCCCAAAGAAGCGTTATCCAACTCAGTTATATTTCACAGCAAAGAATCCCAATACCTTAAGACAGCAAAACTCAGGTCAGGGAAGATGTTGATCCACAACTGCAACTCTCCGGAATTGTTCCAAGAACGAGGGACTAGCGCTGTTTGGGGAATCTACAACAAAAACTACTGGGTCTGTGGCTCTGCAGGAGATGGCTTTCACTGGCTGCCAGACCCATCTACAGCATTGCAACTGGTGACATCTGTAGCTGCTTTCTAAGCCCAGTAGACATTATTTAAAACATCACTCTTCAATAGATTTCTCATCTCAAGTGGTTTTTATCTGCTTGAAAATCTCTATTTTACAAGCGCGACGTTGCTGAAGGGTTGGAAATCCTGAAGGAGAGATTTGGACACAAAACTGAGGAGACCGTCAGGGTCACTTGACACAGAGCATGGGAAGCGCCTGGGGCAGAAGCTCCAGCCACTGAGTTTTGCCAGCTTCCCCTCTGTTGCCCACCACGATTCCCTCCCTTGAAACAAGGCTGTTCTCCCAAGGGCCAAGAAACAATGATTCTTCAGTTGTCTTAAATTATAGTTGCACAGACTTCCTTAAACAGACCCTGCTCTTATCCCAGTGGGGATTTTTCTTTTCCTACAGCAACTGCTTCAGAGGGCATGAGGAAAGCAGAAGAGAAGTTGGAGGAGGTAGCAGTGTGGTCCTCAGTTCTCTGCAGGGGACTGGGAGCCAGACACTTCAGGCCTGATTCTGATCCCACCTCAAACTTCTTGTGTGGCATCTAAGAACTTACACAACTGATAATTTGGTATTACTTTACTTAAATGGCAGTCCATATCTGAGGCTTTAAAGTAGAGAAGGGTTTACAGAAGTAATTTCTAACTTGGGAATCCAAGCTTCATTTTTAAACCGCACTTGGGATTTGGATCCTTCAGACTCACCAAAAGTCAAAAGGATTTAAGCTGTAAATCATTTTTGAGACAGGATGTGGTCACCTAAGTCACTGAGTGCCATAAGACCGCTGGACACCAGTGACCTTCTCTGGGGTGCCAGTGGGAATGGCAACACTCATTGTTTCCTTGCTCTGCCCTTCCTTTCTCTTCACAGGGCTGCACGAGACAGGACTATCCATGCACACATCAACTCCTTCCCATCCTTTCTGTCCCCATTATGAGCACAGTAATCAACCCCACACAGCCCTGGGCAGGCAGGCTGAACAAGAGTCTCTGGATCTGATAGACTGTCATCCCATCGTTTTCAAGAAACGGCCTTCGTCCCCAATAGTCATAAAGATTTGGGATGTTTTATCTGAGGGATGAGGGACTCAAGGAGAGGAGCATGGCAAAAGTACTTACGGGTCATCTTAGGGGAGACCCAGGGTGTCTCTACCCTGCGAGTGAGCTCATGGCTGCTTTTGGTAGCTAGTTTTGAGAAGACCAAACCCCCAGGACACTTGCTGTCCATCTTTCCTGAATCTGCCGTAGCAGGAGGGAGTGGCCACGCACGTTCGAATTCCAAGAGCAGATGCCGCCAGCCCCACGGCCCTGCCCCTGGCAGCTCATCGGCCAGGCTCTGTGTTCCAGCTCCAGCCCAAACACAGCACATTTGACTGTCTGGGCTGAAAGCACAGCACTCCATCCCATTCAAGAAGCATTCCCCAGCAAATGCCGGAGGACTCTGGCACAGCCCAGGCTTTGCGCGTGTATCACGTTCTGCTCTGATTCTGCCCACTGACACAGGAACACTTTCCAGGAACTACAGCCAGGCAGACTTAAAATAACCCAGAATCAATGCTGGGGCCAGGAACCATCTTGAGAGCATGCAAACACAGCTGAGCTCCAGCACTGGCTTCGGGACTTTCTAGCTGAGCCCTGTCTCCCTCCTCAGGTGGAAAACGCTCACGGGTCCAGCTCTCGCACCGGTTTGTCTATAGGCAAGACCACAAGCCACAACTATGCCGCACAACAAGGGACAGTGTGACACCTTCACATTAGCAACAATCATCATGTAAAAACAGCCATCAGAGGCAATAACCTCTCAAACAGCCCACAGCATTGACAGGTAGCAGAGAGCCGAGGGTGACTCCAGGGTCAAAACCCGAGTTGAGAGCATCCCCACTAGCGACGGTAGAAAGCCCAGCCACAGCCGTCCCTCCAGGTAAATGCCCAGCAACCCTCCCACAAACAGGCAGGGTGTGGATGGCTCTTCACAGTCCTGGCAGGTCAGCCCTAAGGTGCCGTGATCCCCTCACAGAGCTCAGCGCACAGCTCGGCTCGCGTGGGAGTCCGCTTGGCTGTCCCCTGTGGCATGAGCTTTCCTCCTACCGTAGGTCTGCAGAGCAGACTCCTTCCTGAGCTCAAGGAAAGGCGAGTCTGTAAGCATGTGCTATGATAATAACCCAAGCTTTGCTTTGTAAAATAGAAAAGAACATTAAACGTACCCTCGTAAAGTGTCTTGGCCTCTTCTTCTCACTCTGTTTGCTGGCTGTCTTTCCTCGTAGCCTGCAAATCTGTCTGTCTGCAAGTCCCCTTCATATTGACCCTGGGCTTGTTCCACATACATAACTGCTGTACATCCCAGCATGAACCTGGCCAGCCATAATACCCCCATGATGGCACAGATTCCTCGATTCCCCCGGCTGCCCCGAAAGCTTCTTCCAGCTGGAGGGTCCCTGCTGCCTCAGCGGAGGATGGGTTTTGGCAGCAGCCCCTATGTGCCGAGGTGCCGTCCTGCCGTTCTCTTTCTAGAAGCAAAAGCAGAGGAAAGAGAAAGAGAGAGACACAAGTGTTCTTAAAGGCTTTCACATTGTTAAAATGATTGATCATCCCAGGCGGCCCCTCCCCAGAGTTAATACAGTGGGGTCAGACAGTCACACCCAGTTTGGCTCCTTGTACATGCTTCCAACATGTTCACAGCGTCCCTACCGCAGCATTGCCAAACCTTTCATTCCCAAGAGCTGGGAACCAAGAGATCTCCAAGAGTCATGGTTCTGCCCTTGCATCCATTTCCCTGACCTCCTGATGGAGAAATGAAGAGTGACAAAAGCACATCTGTCCTGGGCCTGCCCATGATGGTGGGTTACGATACCGACCTCGGCATAGTGCCTTGGTTAAGCAGAGCAACTGGAGATGCGAGGCTATGAAGGAAAAGGAGAACTTCAAGAAAGAGTTGATTCTATTTACGGACCATGTTCTGAGGTCCCACAGCTGTTTTACTGCATCGTACTCCAGACAGACCATGGCATGGGGATCAGTTGCTGGAAAACAACCTCCCCAATACCCAGTCATTCTAGCTGGCTGAGGGGAGAGGTCTGCTGGCAAACCCATCACAGGGACATGTAGACCAGTGCCGAGGCAGGCAGAAGGGTCATCGTGGGTTGGAGTGAGATGGAGGACAGTGCGCTAGGGCTAGAGTATGAAGACACGGTGCATTAAGCTAAGGAGGGTGAAGGCACAGAGGAGAAGGTGGAGGGCTGGGCATGCTGGAGGGATGTAGGAGAGCTCCTGAGCTGGGACAGGCAGCCAAGCACAAGAGGCCATGGGGAGGGAGATGATAGAGGCTCCAAAGCCTCTGTGGAGGGGAGAGAGTGGGCTGATGGAGGCAGCAAGGAGACCCCTCACTGCTCCGGCTGTGGACACACTTTGGGGTGAGCACAGCATAGTCAACTCTCCAGGGCTGGTCCGGCAACTGAGCCTATGAGATGGCCACAACCAGGCAGGGGCCAGATGCAGAGTTTGGCCCCGAATCTCACCAGGGCAGGTCCTCAGCCCCCAGAGAAAGTCCCTCCTGAGGAAAAAGGCAGGAGCCCAGCTTCCCCCCGGGGACAGGTGACATGGTGGAGGGGTCCCATGGGCCCAGCACAAGCAGAGCCGAGGGGTCAGCCCATGCTGTGGGGCGCTGAGGGGAGAAGGAGCCCACGGCCACCTGTGGAGCGGCTTTATCTTAGTCCTTACAGCCATCCCGGGTCTGAGAGGTTGCAGGCACTCAGGGTGGGGAAAGGAAAACAGCCCCAGGCAAAGGGGTACGGACCCCGGCCCAGCAGAGACCCCTGAGTGGGGGTGCCATCTTGTGAGGGGGGGGCGGCCTTGTCCTGAGGGTGCTGCTGCGGGCTGCCAGGAGCAGGCAGGGCGGCGAGGCCGGGCAGGCGAGGAGAAAACACAATGAAAAGGCTCTGTAAAACAGACGGTGCTCCACAGACTGTACCCCTTCCCTCCTGCTCCCTCATCTCCCCCCCAACCCCATCACCCCTCCGTTCCCCAAATCTCCCAGCCCCGCACGTGGAAACGGGGGAAACCTTCCTTCCTCCTCCCGGCTGGCGGAGGGGCTGGAAGCATCTCTCACCTCGAGACCCTCAAAAGTTTGTTCCTTCAGGAGGAGGAGGAGGAGGAGGAGGAAGAATCCTCCTGGGTCTCCCCTCCCAGAGTGGAAATAATCAGCCGTTTCTGCGCGAGGCTCCGCGTCCGCTCCTGCGCCGAGGGACAGGGCCCCCGAGCCTCCCCTTACTGTCCCCCTTGCTTTCCCACAGCAGCACTTTCCCGTTCCAGCCCAGCCCCAAAGCAGGCAAAAAAAAAAAAAAAAAAAAATCAGCCCAGACAAGGCAGAAAATGTGTCTGAACCACCAACCAAAAAAAAAAAAAGTAATAATTAAAAAAAAACCCCAAACACTTCTCCCAGTGCCCCAGCTGGGAATCTCTCAGCTCTTGAGGGCATGCATTTTTCAGGCTCTAATATTTCAAATGAGGTGAATGAGAAAGGCAAGAGTGGGAAGGGAAAAGGCAGGGCTGGGAGCGGAGGCAGAGACAAAGAAACTGCCCGTCCTGCAGCCCGAAGAGCTCCGCTGCTCCGCCACGCACGCCCGGCTGCCCACGGCTGCCCTACGATTATCGCCCGGCAGACAAAAG